AAAAGCTCTTTCCACATGATACATTTATAGGGTCTTTCCCTTGTGTGGATTCTTTTATATGTATGGTTGTGAAAGTTGGACCATAAGAAAGGCTAAGCGCAAAAGAATTGAGGCCTTTGAACTCTGGTGCTGGAGAAGACTCCTGCGAGTCCCCTGGACTGCAAGGCAATCAAACCGGTCAGTCCTATAGGAGATCAACCCTGACTGCTCTTTAGAAGGCCAGATCCTGAAGTTGAAACTCAAGTACTTTGGCCACCTAATGAAAAGGAAGGACTCACTGGGGAAGAGCCTAATGCTGGGAAAGATTGAGGGCAATAGAAGAAAGGGATGACAGAGAATGAGGTGGCTGGATGGAGTCACTGAAGCAGTTAGGCGTGAGCTTAAATGGACTCCAGAAGATGTTAGAGGACAGGAAGGCCTGGAGGAATGTTGTCCATAGGGTCACAATGAGTTGGACACGACTTCGCAACTATAAACAAGTTGTTCTTTCTGAGTAAAGCTCTTTCCAGGCATTTATATGTTTTTTTTTTCCTTTTGCAGTGAAAGTGATTTAATCTGACATACTGGATTTGTTTTGTAAGTACTTTGTATTTTACTAGTTTTTAAAAGTACTCCATTGCTTCATTTTACTTTGTTACATATCTCTGTCCTTTTTTACTTGAAAAGACAGGAACTTTCTACTAAAACCTTCTTGGAAATTCTTGAAAAATTAGATAAAAGGTTCAATGAAGTAGTAACAGTTTTAAATCAACCTAAAGAAGACATCCTAATACAGGTAACAGCAGTTAAACCAGACATGAAACTGAGAGCCTCGTTAAAGGTTGCTGATGGGGTTGTTGAAGGAAAAGTCTTCATCATGATTCATCCAAGCCAGGGATAAACAACATGGTGATTGCTTTAGAAAGAAGGCTGCAGTTTATTGAAGAGCCAGACAGAAAGATGGTTCTGGCAGGAAAGAGGAGAGAGAAAAGCCTGAGCACATGTGGGAAGTAGGTTTTTATACCCACTAAAGCCTTTTGTTTGGAATAGTTGCTTCCTGTTCCTGTTTTAGGCTTTGTATTTCCTGTGTCATGTATTCTGTCCTGAGTCTGGGTGTCCCTTTCTGGTATTCTTGATGGTGGTAGGTTAATCCTATTATGTCCCAAGGTTTATATCCTGCTTCTCTGGTGCTGGGGCTAATGACTCCTAGAGTTTGGGTGGGATATGCAGATTTTAGGTGTTTTTGTCTTCTTGATCTCCTAGTTGGGGCCTTTCTGAAGGTTTACATCTGCATTTGTACAGAGCTGGCTTCTGCTTAGAACAGAGAGACTTGGGGGCAGGATTGGTTTCTGCTTTTTAAAAATCCTTTTGAGGAAATATATTTTTCTGCCCTTTTAATATTTCCTTCTCTGGGGGGGGGGAGGAGGGCTGACTTCCCACAGGGCCATTCATTTAAAAGATTCAATTATAACAGAGATGACAGAATGGATAAGTGAAGAACTGGATTTTCTTAAGAAAGCTGATAGAGTTTATGGAATAGACTTACTATATGCAACCAGAAGACAACTCTCAAGAGACTGCACATTTCAACCTGCAGGAAAAATCTATTGAACAATAAGTGCTGTGGAGATATTTTCAACAGTAATCTGTGATTTTGGGGAGTGAGGCATAGTGGTTTGAAAAGATCCCAGTTATAATTTTAAGGAAAACTAAAGACAATAAACTGGAAGGAGTTATCTTTACTGTCAAGAATCAATTCAATCCTGAATGGATCAGGGTGTCAGAACCCTGTCTTTCTTCTGGTTATTACTTTCTTCTGGTTATTAATGTTTCCATCTCTCTTTCAGGTTCTGCCGTTCTCCTGGGGGGGGGGGGAAGCTATCGGGATGCTACAGTGCATTTCCTTTTGCTTGGCTTTCCCTTTGTTCTTGCTTTATCTTCTTTGAAGTATATTCCTTGGGGTGAGAATGGAATGTGCTTCCGGCCATCTGCCTTATCTCTGGTCGGGGAGATGAAGCCCTGGAGACCTGGCTGCCTTGAAAGTGGCGCCTTATCAGTCTGTTCCCACAACAATTTCACACCTATGGATTGGCCTGTTTGAATTAGCTGGATGGACAGGGCCTGGGGTTTTCAATGCTTCCTTTAAACCAGTGGTTCTCAACCTTTCTAATGCCGCAACCCCATAAAACAGTTCCCCATGTGGTGGTGACCCCCAACCACTTATACATCACCGGGTGCCAGGGGCGTGGCCAAAGAAAAGGGGGAAAAAATGGCGGACAGCCTTGTTTGGCGACCCCCTTGAAATGGTCGTTCGACCCCAAATGGGGTCCCGACCCACAGGTTGAGAACCACTGCTTTAAACTATTGTTTCGCATGAGAATTTCTCAGATTGTGCCTTCTGTTCCTGCTGTCAATAGCTTCCAATAAAAGTTCCTGTTGAAACGATGCACGCTTCAAGAATTCTGCTTTCTTAGGAGGTTTAATTGAGTCAGGTCCTTACATTAGGCAGATCTGCAAAGTGGTCAACCCGGAGGGAAAACCCCTACCGTGGGACCATGCAAAACAATGTTGTTCACTTCTCAGCCTTCGCCACGTGTTTGTGGGACTATCGGTTTAAAAAAAAAAAGTTCCTTCAGACTTTCTAACTTCTTGTGAGAAGTTAGAAAGTCTGATGAAACTTTTTTTTTTATTGATAGGTCCACAAACAAGCGGCGAAGGCTGAGAAGCGAACAGAGAAACGGAATGCAGCTGAAAGGCAGGTTAATAAAAAAAAACACTTGGGGGAGGTGAGGGCAGCAACCTTACCCTGCACGGCTTCGGCAGGAGGAAGGAAGCAACTGGTCTACCACCATGCTAGTGCTGCCGTGTTGCTTCTCCACTCCATGCACAGGCCCCACCCCACCCCTTGCACGTAGCGCCCTCCTCCTGCTGCTCCCCACCCCCACGCGGCACCTTCTTTCCATCTCTGATGTGTCACTTCCTCTGCCGCTGTGTGGGAGTAAAAATAAAGTTCAATCAATCAATTCCAACTTTGCAAGATTTTTTTTTTCCTGTGAGAAGTTGAAATTGATTGAACTTTTTTTTTTTTTGCTCACGGTGGCAGAGGCCTAAAGCAGAAAGGTTTTATAAAACCCAGTTTGTCCGGGGAGATTTTGAAGCAGGTGCTCATGGACGGGACTGAAGACATAGGACTGGGGCGATGGCGCACGTGCCCACAGAGAGGGCTCTGCCACCTGTGGCACGCGTGCCATAGGTTCGCCACAACGGGTATAAGGTCTACTGCCTGAGCAGGAGGTTAGATTAGAAAATTTCCAAGATCCCTTCCAATTCTGTTATTCTATTATAGACATTTATATGGACCTGTTTTAGAAGGGGGGGGGAATTACTACTGTTTAAATATATCATTATTTAACCAGGGGCCAGTCCAAGGGTGTGCTGTCCAGGAACTGGGAGTGAGCCTAGGAAGCTGGAACACACCACTGACACTACACCAGGAGGGGGAGGGTGGAGTGGCATCTTCTACAGTTAACAGCCTGTCTTCTGGCTCTCGTAGCATCCCTTGCCTATCACCAATCTAATGCACTATCCTGCCCCGTGATCCGCAAGTAGAGCATCCCTCCACGCCCCGATCTTCCTGGATCCCTGGGATTTCTTTCTTCCCAAATCCTCTTCGAAATATAGATGTGGTTCTGGGATGCATGAAAGGGGGAGGAAGAAGAGATTTGAGGAAGGGAAATGGAAACGTGAGAAATGGAGAGTCCCGGGGCAGGGTCCAGCCAGTAAATTTATTAATTTATTACTAGATAAGTAAATGCTTTGAGTAGTACATTAGGCTAGGGTTGTTGTTTTTTTTGTCCTGTTTGTTGTCTTATCTGTTTCCTTATGGTGATTCTATGGCTTTTTTCTAGAGTACAGTCTGCCTTTTACCTGTTTAGTTTCCATTTTCTATTTCTGGTCTTTGCTAATCTTGACTTTTTACTCATCTTTTCTACTTGGCTGTGCCTGGCTGATTGATTCTTCTTCAAGAGTTGTTTTCCAAGGGATTATCCCCCCCCCAAAACACACCCTCAAACAGAAATGGGTTTTCCTCCTATGTGGACTGAAACATGCCACTTGGTATTGCTGGCCGTGACAACTTTTTTCACATATTGAAAAAAGAAAACACAGAGACAGGTCAAAAGTTAACAAATTAGTCCCATGCTTAGTGTCAAAGAATTTCTTCCCTAAGATGTGCTGAAGTGATAAGGAGCAATTGCCATGGCAATAGCTGAACAAGACTTTTTCTTTGAGAAGCTGATGTGATAGCCACTCACTCTTTCCCACGTCCCAAGGAATACTCACCCTGTTCAGAAGGGAAATCACAAGATTTCTGTAGCTAAATCTTAACAAGAAAGAAAAAATGCAACTAATAAACAGTAGAGAGCACACACGGAAAGCCACTTACCGGTATTAATGCAAGCTTTAAGCCTATGGAGAAGTGAGTTGTCCACAATGAATTTAAGCTTATGGCCAGAGCTTGGCTGTTAGTGGCTGGCCCCTAGCCAGCAAATGGTGCACTGCACAGGAAAATAAATAAAAATAGCTACTTGTCTAACCAGCCATTTTTCAGGTATTAATTAAAAATAGTATGCCACTCTCAGGACACTCTTACAAAGAAGAGATCGTGATGTCAAATCCAACCTTAGGCATGAAAGCCAATCACTCTCTCAGCCCAACCCACCTCACAGGGTTGTTATGGGGATAAATAGGAGAAAGTTATGTTAGATATGTTCACCTTGAATTATTTGTAAAAATGTCGGGATTCAAATAAATAAAAATAAAAAACTAACCCATTAATCAGCAGTGATTCTTGGACAGTGAAGGGAAGGTGGCAGCACTCAATGGTTCTATTTTGAGAAGGCAAATGTGGGGTGGGAGATAATATTCTTGGCTATGAAAATAATGCCATTTCTTCTTTGTCACATCCTGAGTAATAAACTGTATAATCTTCTATCTCAAAGTGTCCAACTCCAGTCCATTTCAATTAACTGAAGTCGAAAATATCAAGTGTTTTTGAAATATACTTTTTATTGAAAGTTTTAAAAAGAACAATAGAAATTGCTTTAGAACAGAAAAGGGGGAGAAATAACAGAAAAAGCTCAGTGTGATAAAAAAATAAAGTAGGAAAAAAGAAAAATATATAAAGAATGTTCTTCACAGGGTTGTAAGTACACTATATTGTAACCTTTATTTTGTCAAGTTACAGCATTATGCTCTTCTATGTATGTCTAATCATCAAACCATAAATCACAGTCATTTTTAATTATTTTTTTTTTGCGCAGAACAGTTTCTAGTGTTTTGTTGCTTCATCTTTTACTGCATTGAGCTTTTCTATATCCAGTGTTCCAGTTCCCACTATAATTCTGACTTTACTGTTTTGGATTTTCTTTTCCTGCATAACATCAGCAACTAGATGCCCTGAGGCTTTAATCTAGCACAGGGGACTTCAAACGTGGCCATTTTATGACTTGTGGACTTCAACTCCCAGAATTCCTCAGCCAGCATGCCTCTAGCAATTCCTCAAAGAAAGTTCTTTCCACACTCCATGCATTTATAAGGTTCCACTCCTATGTGAACCATTCATTCATTCTTCGTATTTATTATAGTTGATCATCTCCCAAAACATGACACTGGGTGGCATAGAATGAAAAACATTCTACGATTTTTAAAAAAAAAATATTATTATTATTAAGACTAGGAAAAAAGATTCAATATAAGGAATGCCACAACCTCACTGGTTCAACAATTGAGATTCCCCAAATCTGTTGACATAGCCATGTTGTTTTGAGGGATTTCCAGAAAGCTATCAAGGATGGGTGCCAGGGCAGAGAAGGCCCATCTCTTTGGTCCCACATGTAACTCCTTAACAGAGGACCCGCAACACACATCTTCTCTCATGTAACACAGCTTCTTGCCCTGAAGGCCTTTAAAGATCAAAAACAGCACCTTGAATTTGACCAAATCAAAGTGGCAACTAATCAGAATCAGAATCGAGCTGGAAGGGACCTTTGAAGTCTTCTAGTCCAACCCCCTACCTCAACAGGAAGCCATATACCATTTCAGATAAGCGACTGTCCAGTCTCTTCTTAAAAATCTCCAGTGATGAAACACGTGCAACTGGAGATTATAATACCAGATCGCTGCAACCATCATAAATACATGCCAGTAGGCGTGCCCAAATTTTGATCACACGATCATGGGGATGCTGCAACAGTTATAATTGTGAAAACTGGTCTAAGTCACTTTTTTCATTTTATTTCATTTTTTTTCACTCTAACTTTGAATGCTCACTAAACAAACACTTTTAAGTCCAGGACTAACTTTATATGTTCTATCCACAATATGGATTCTTTTGAGATTTAATTTGCCCTTCCTAAGTAAAGCTCTTTCCACACTCCAGTTTATTCCTTGTGTGGATCTTCTGATGTTGAGCCAATTGAGCTTGTATTGAATCCATTTCCACACTCCCTGGAGGTATGTTTTTTTCTCCCCTCTGTGCATCCTCTCATAGCGACTAAGAGAACTTTTGAAAGCCTGTTCCACACAATGCATTTCTAGGAAGCTCTCCCATGTGTATTATTTGATGCACAGTAAGGTGTCTCTTTTCATGGAATCCTTTTCCATACACTATTCAGTTATGCTGTTTCCCCCCTCTGTGAATCCTCTCATGGCGATTAAGATTACTTCTGAAACGGAAGCTCTTTCCACACTCTGTGCATTTATATGGTTTCACCCCTGTGTGAATCCTTCCATGATCAGAAAGAGACCTTTTCTGAGCAAACTGCTTTCCACACTCCAGGCATTTATATGGTCTCTCCCCTGTGTGGACTCTCTTATGATAATTAAGATTTGCTTTCGAAATAAGGCTTTTTCCACACTCCAGGCATTTATACGGTCTCTCCCCTGTATGGTTCCTTTGATGGATGGCAAGTTCTCTTTTCTGAAAGAATCTCTTTCCACACTCACTGCAGCTATGTTTTTTCTCCCTTCTGTGGATCCTCTCATGGCCATCAAGAGTATTTATGAAACTGAAGCTCCTGCCACTCTCTATGCAATTAAGTAGTTTCTCACCTGTGTGAATCCTTTTATGAAAATTAAGTGTTCCTATTAAAGCAAAGGCCTTTCCATATTCCTCGCAACTATATGGTTTCTTCCTTACATGGATCTTTTGATGGATAGAATGGTCTTTCTTCTCACATAATTCTTTTCCACATTCCATGCAACTATGCTCTTTCTCCCCTCTGTGGATCTTCTTATGGCGATTCAGATTACGACTGAAACGGAAGCTCTTTCCGCACTCTGTGCATTTATATGGTTTCACTTCTATGTGAACCCTTTTATGATCTGTAAGATATCCTTTCTGAGTGAACTGCTTTCCACATTCCATGCATTTATATAGTCTCTCCCCTGTGTGGATTCTTTTATGAGAAGTAAGATTTCTTTTTGAAATAAAGCTCTTGCCACACTCCAGACATTTATACGGTCTCTCCCCTGTGTGGTTCCTTTGATGGATGGTAAGTTCTCTTTTCTGAAAGAATCTCTTGCCACACTTGCTGCAGGTATGTTTTTTCTCCATTCTGTGTATCCTGTCATGGTGATCAAGAGTATTTCTGAAACTGAAGCTCCTTTCACTCTCTATGGAATTATGTAGTTTCTCACCTATGTGAATCTTTTTATGACAATTAAGTGTTCCCATTAAAGCAAAGGCCTTTCCACATTCCAAGCATTTATACGGTCTCTCCCCAGTGTGTATCCTTTGATGGACAGTCAGGTCTTTCCTCTCATAGAATCCTTTTCCACACTCCATGCAACTATGTTGTTTTTCCCCTCTGTGGATCTTCTCATGGCGAGTCAGATTACCCCTGAAGCGGAAACTCTTTCCGCACTCTGTGCATTTATATGGTTTCACTCCCGTGTGAACCCTTTCATGATCTGTAAGATATCCTTTCTGAGTGAACTGCTTTCCGCATTCCATGCATTTAAACGGTCTCTCCCCTGTGTGGATTCTGTTATGAGAATTCAGATTTCCTTTTGAAATAAAGCTCTTGCCACACTCCAGGCAGTTATACGGTCTCTCTCCTGTGTGGCTCCTTTGATGAACAGTAAGGGCACCCTTGTTAAAGAATTGCTTTCCACACTCCGTGCAACTATGTTTTTTCTCCACTCTGTGGATCCTTTCATGTAAATCAAGAGTACTCCAGAAACAGAAGCTCTTTCCACACTGTATGCATTTATATAATTTTTCACCTGTGTGAATCCTTTTATGAAAATTAAGTTTTCCTATTAAAGCAAAGCTATTTCCATATTCCTCACAACTATATGGTTTCTCTGCTATTTGGCTCTTTTCATGGCCATTAAAAATACTAAAGGTCTTTCCACATTTTCTGTATATTTTAGTCTCTCTGCTCAGTCTGGAATCTTTCCCCAACTTTACAATGATATGTGGTTTGTGTTTCCTATAACGTTTCTTAGGTAAAGTAATAGAAAAGGAATTGTGAGGTGTAGAGGGTTCCTGCCCTTGACCTTCTGACTGGCTCCTCTCTTTTCTTTTTGGATTTGCTTGATGGTCAAACATCATTTCTACTTCATAGTTTGTTGTTTGCAGCAGCATTAACCTCTCCTGCTCCTCATTCTCTTTCTTCATTCTGTCACCTGTTTGGAAAAAAGAAAATAGCAATTCCTGTTGGAATTTAAAACGGTTAGGGAAGGGGAGATAACGTCTTGTATACTGAGGAGAACCAATACTCTTATTTCTCTGATTTTGCTGAAACTGGCCGGTGGATCTCAGGTTTGAAAAGCCAATCTTTTTTTTAGAAAAACGAATTGGAGATTGTCCAAATATACTTTATACATCTGATTTGTGTAAGCTGACAGCAAAACCTTTCATTTCTGCAGCCACTTGTGTTCAGCTAAAAGCTGTGGGTTCTATCATGCTCTGAATAATAAATGCAACCTTATCAATTGCTGGGTACCATTCTCTTTAGTTCATTTGAGAAAGAATATCATAGCTTTGCAGCTTTCTGAATTATCTTTTGTAATCTATTGCAATATACAGGCAAGAGATAATTTTAGAGTTATTTTTGGAACGCTTTTAAATGCTTTGTGAAACTGATTTAAAGCTTATAAAGTTAATTAGAAACAACATATTTATGGGAAAAATCCGTCTTATTTACATATGAATTTGACTTATTTGAAGTTTTTGATCCTTGTATCTTTTTATTGGAATCAAGGGTTACTATCAAAAACCAAATCCCTCTGAAGACAAGGCTTCACTAGAATTACAAATGCAATTGGATGATACATTTTAAATTAAAATATAAGAGGTTTATTCAAGTCCTTTCAGGGAAATTACAAGTGGACCCTGAAGCGTAAGAATTTGAAGAGAAGGGAAAAGGATTGTTTGGAATGGATAGTGTTTCTTGTAGAAATATTTAATGGGGTGATGAATTTATTTTACTATATCTGAACAAGACATTTTGTAAGGGATTGGTAATGTTTAATAATTTTAAATTCCTTTTTTGCAAAGTTTAATTGTTAAAAGAGGGATGTGCAAAGTAGACTAAAAGGAAATGGGGACTATATTAGTAACTACTTATGTCATTAGCTTTATTTTTATTATATTTTATTATATCTGCTAACTAGTAAGAAGACCTAAAGATTTAGAGTTTATAGAATATTGGATGATGTATGGAATGAAGAGTATTTTGGTTGTATTATAAGAGACAGCAATTAGTTGTTAACATTGTACATACATGCTGGAGATTAAGGGGGAATTTTCATAAACATACTCATACACAAGGGGGATTTTCTGTGTTTTGTACATATTTTCTTTTTAATGTATTTTGAATTTCATTTTTGTATGTATTTTATCTAAGATAATCCTTAATAAATTATGTCAAAATAAACACCAGCTGTTAAGGGGGGATCTTCTCTCAAAAGTATGCCTGTCTGCATTACAGGTATGCCATCAGCCATGAATCCAGTTTGGAGGTGTTGGGTGCAAATTGTGATATCCAAGGAATTTTTTAAGCTGGGAACCTCAATAAGACTTTGCTGTTGATTAGACAATGTGGGTCATTTCCTAAAGCCACGGTAAACAGTTATAAAAAGGTCTTAAGTAGAGATGATCACCTTAAGCAATTTGAATGCATGATCTTCCCTGTTTACCTATGACAGAAATAACTTTCCCCAATTAATGGAACCCAGAGCAAAGTGAGACCTTACCCAGGGCAGCCATATTCCTAAAAGCCTCCAGTGAGACTTCTTTGCACAGGGTTCTCTGGCCAGAATCCAGTAGTGCCCACTCCTCTTCTGTGAAGTCCACAGTGACCTCCTCAAAGGGATCAAAGCCCTAGAATAAGAATGTTCTTTAATAGATAATCCCAGAAAAGACCTGTGCATTTTCTCTCTTAGTGCACAAAACAGCTTTGCAAAAATGAGCACTTTCTTGGTGAATAAAATGTCCTTGTGGCTGTAAAGCCCCCAGTGCCCCTCTTCCTAATAGCTGGTGCTCTATGTGCACAAAACATGACTGCATTCAGGTTTTTGAATGGCAATAGCACTCCTTGGGGAGTCCCCGGTGGCTTAGACTAAGCAAGAATTTGGGGAACCAATTCCACTGGCTCACTTGACTTGGGGAGCAAATTCTACATTCTTTATAAAACAGCATACATCCACTAGGAAATTATTCTCTCTTTCAACATGATAGAAGTGAGTCTGGAAATCTTAAGGCACTTGAAGAACATTCATACTGTTGCTGTCATTTAGTCAACTTTGGGGTTTTTTCATGGAAAATCGGTCATTAAGACACAATATTTATGAAGCAAATTATTATTATGCTATTCAATAGTTTCATGAGAGTTTAATAATCTCAACTCATGAGATTAACTGGTTTTCTGATTCCTCTTTGGAGTATTATAAAATATTAAGCAAGCAAAATACATTGCCTAACTGTAGCCTTTGAGGTTGTTACTATCTCTGGTATGTATCTCCAAAATGATCTTGAAAGTTCAATGAATAGGCTCACTGAGGAGGATAGGGTGTTCAACTACATATAGACTCAGCATTTCGTTACACTGTAGAAAGAGCTCAGGAACAGAGGGAGCTTGAACTCTGCTGCTCTCATAATAAACTATAGTTACCTGCTGCAGTGGCCCAAATTGGATCCTCCTGAAAAGCAGTCCTTGAGAAGGACTGCATTGATTTCCTCTTTCCTGGAGCTCGGCTGAGATCTCTCCTGTGAACAGCTCCTGCATCTGAAAAAGAAGCCTGGTTTGTGACCCACATTCAAAGGACTGTAACCATGTTACTTCGGTTGCCTTACCTTTGGAATCCCCCAATCCAAGTCAAAATGAGAGAACTCAGGGATTCTGATTTGAAGGTAGCTATTTCTGGGTAAATGTCTGCTATGTTTGTGAAATGTTTCATTGCCTATCTTTATTTCCTCTTTTCATTCTGATCAGACTTGCTTGCATCTTTTCCCCTTCTTTTGATAGCTGTGGTCTTTCCTCCTTTGTGGATACAGCTATGCCTGTTCTATGTCTTACTTGAGGAATCTTTTCCTTTAGATTTACAAAACTTTGCCTCTTGAGTGGAAAGAAATTGATCTTCCCTTCCTTTTGGCCTCTTTATGCCTCTTGCAGTGGAGAGACCACCAACCTGGCAATTCAGACAGACCTCGGGATGAACACAGAGATGGTTTTGTGAGGGAGATGCACACAGTCTCTTTGTGAGGACTGAGAAACATTTTAATGATGTTTGTTCATCCTGGCTTTTCAACCATTCCCCTGACCTCATTCCCCATAGACTATTACACTATACCAACATTATCATCATAATAGCCATTGTTTATCTACCACACAGGATGAAGGCCTCTTCTGCATGTTTCTAACCCAATATAAACATACCAATTTAAGTTCTCTAGATGTATGTTCCCAGTGACTGTAAAGAAGAGAAGCAGGCAAGTACGGTAAAACTTTAAAGCAGGGGTGTCAAACTTAATTTCATCGAGGGCTCCATCAGCATTGTGGTTGCCCTTGAGGGGCCGGGTGGGCATGGATGGAGTGGGTGTGGCCTACTGGGTGGGCATGGCCAGCTCTACATCATTCGTGTCAAGTGTACCTGTGGGGGCCTGGGGAGGAGTGGGACAGATCTGAGGGTCTCTGGCAGAAGGAGGAGGGACTAGGGCAAGTGCCAAGGTATAGTCCGCTGGAGGAGCCTTACTGTTCCTCTCAGGCCATGCGGGGGGGGGGGTCGATGGTGGTGCAGAGGTCAAATGCCCAGCCTGGCCCTCAAGCACCAGCGGCACCAAGCCCAGCCCCACTTCCCCAAGGGGGCATCCAGCTGCACTTACCTCCTCCTCAAGGCTGCTGCTGCTGTGCTTGCTCTCCTTACCCAGATTGCTCATGATGGGTACGAGGGCAAAGTCAGAGGGAGGCCCATTCCCTCTCCATGGGAGGACACCCGGCTTTGTATCCAAAGCTTTCTTAGCAATAGGATGGGAGACCCCCAGGATAGGCCAGAAGGAGGGGGAAAGGGATGGTGAAAGGGCAGCAGGGCAGGACTTCCCTCAGACCCTCCCTCTCCCTCTCTCCTTCTGTCCTTACTAAGTACAGTGTGGTGGGAAAATATTTGAGATCAGGGAGGGAGAAAAACAGGCAAGAAATGCATACCCTTTGTGAGGAATGAAGAAATGCACCATCGCCTGGAAGTGGCTAGCATATGGCCCTCACCTACTTCACATATCTGGCTTGGTGGGCTCTGGAGGAGGTGATGCCATGAGCAACGTGAGAGTCAACGTTACCTGCGCAATGCCGTCCAGCCCTCAGCTTGCCCGGTTTTGGCAGGCAGCGAGGCACTCTTTTCACAGCGCCGAAAGGCTGAGCCAGGCAGCGCAAATCTGAAAAGTGTGATGCCGCCCAGCCCCCAGTTTCGGCAGGCAGCCAGGTGCTTTCCTCACAGTGCCGAGAGATTGAGCCAGGCAGTATGAAGCTTGCCAGCTTTGCACCTTGCTGCCTCCTGAAACTGGGCAGGCTGGGGGCTAGGCAGCATTGCACTTCTCATCAGATTTGTGCCACCTGGCTCAGCTCTTGGTGCTGTGAGGACAGCGCCCCGCTGCCTGCTGAAACTGGGCAGGCTGGGAGCTGGGTGGCCTCACATTTCTTTTGGGATTTGCGCCACCTGGTTCAGTCTCTCGGTGCTGTGAGGAGAGCGCCCCACTGCCTGCCGAAACCCCTCCCCCAGAGCCCATCAAGCCGGATATGTAAAGCAGGCGAGGGCCATTTGCTGGCTACTTCTAGGTGATGGTGCATTTCTTCATTCCTCACAAAGGGTGACACCTCCCCAGCACGCACCCAGGGGTGGGGCCGATGCGGCAGGGGCTGGTTCCTTGCTATTTCCAGATGGCCTTGTGGAGCTAAGACTGAATGCGTTCCAGCATAGCCACCAAAAAATTGTATATTGGCTCCTGGCCGGACTGGGCCAGGGCCAAGGCAGCGGGGGCCTGTTCCCTCACTGTTTCCAGGATGGCTTCATGGGCCACATGAAACTACTTCGCGGGCTGCATCTGGCCCGGGGGCCTTGGGTTTGACATGTCTGCTTTAAAGTAAGATGTGCTATGTCATTAATGAGAACGAGTAATTTGAAGAATATCAGCTGAAATGGAACAAATAAATCCATTCATTCATTCATGTATTAAAGGAAACAAAGGGAGGGCAAAGAAAGGATTTCAGCTTCCTCTCTCAAACTTTTGGACTCTCTTCAGCCCTGAGGGTGAATTTGTCTTTCCTCCCATGGAATTATCTCCAAGAGGAAAACAAAGCATTTGCCTCAAGAACAAGTAAGTTCTCAAAATATTAAGAGTTACAAGAAATGCAGACATCTGTCTTATTAATGTCTCATGGTTTTTATAGAGCCTATTAAATATATCAGCGGCTCATGCATCTCCTCACGGTTAACTTTTCTCACCTGCCGCCCCTTTCCCGGCTCCAGGCTGGCTGCGGGACCAAGCAGGAATCCTTCAGCCAGGGCCACCGCCTGTGAGCAGCTCTCCGCTTCGCATTCCCGCAGCCAGCCCGCCAGTTCCGGGGGCAGCACGGCCAGCAGCTGCTCCAGCACCACCCGGTCCAGCATCTTCGCTTTGCTGCTCCGCTCAGGCCGCAGCCACCTGCGGCATAGTTGGTGCAGGCGGCTGCAAAGCGCCCGGGGCCCCTCGGCCTCCAGGGAGCGGCAGCTGCGGAAGCACCGGCGCTCACCCTCGGAGCTGCGGGGTCCCTCAAGGAGACCTCTCGGGCTGCGGTTTCCCCTGGACTCCCCACCGTCGCACTCCGCCTGAAGGGCCGCGGGGGCTGCTGCTGCTCCCGCCCCCGGAGACCCTTGGGCCTCCATTCGATCTCCGTCTTCAGCCTCGCCCAAGGCCTCTTTCAGTTACGGCAGAGCCTCCGCCGCCGATCCCCTCCCAACCGGCCCTTTCCCGCTTTCAGGGGGAGAGAAGAAGGGCTCCGTTTCCTCAGAGTTTCTGCGCCTCAGCAGAGCAGCTACAAATAGTTCCCGCCAAAATTTCCCGCGCCGTCCTGGCTTCACGGAGCCTGGATCACAGAGCGCCCCTTCCTAGAGAGGCAAAATGCTGTACGCGTTTCCTCCCCTTGAATGCGCATGCTCCATTCCATTGTGACGTCCAATATTCGAACTTCTCCGCTGGGAAGGACGGAAGGAGAAGTGAGATGGGGGAGGAGGTCGGGGATGATGGGCACGGCGGGCCTGAAATAAAGAAGGCGACCTTGGGATCAAAGCTGTTTTCCTGAATATCTTAAAAATGTGGATGTGCTCCTGGGACATGGGGAAGATGTGGGAGAGGAAGGCTTGATGGAGCTCTGGAAATTAGAGAGATGAACAGAGCAGCCCCAAGGCAGCCATCCAGCCTGTAAATGTATTTTTATTATTAAATAAGTAAGCAAGTAAATATTCTGGAGATGCCTTCTGGCACTTTATTTGACCTTGTTGTCTTAATTGTATTCATGTGGTGACACTCAATGAAGGTATCCTTTTTCTCTGGAGCCGAGCCTGTCGTTTATTTACTTTGGTTGGTTTTCTATTTCTATTCTATCCAAATCTTATATTTTTATCTTCACCTTTTCGGTTTGGTTGTTTGTAGCTCGTTGATTCCTGAAGAGTTGATCAGGTTTCAAGTGTTGTACAAGTTTTTTTTTTTAAGTACACTGACTCCCTGGGCTGGTTTTATCCCCACCTCTGTTTTAAGTGTCAGATTGTCCGACAATCTGAGCTGGACAATTAAGATTAAGATAACCTTTATTGTCATCTTTACTGTGGGCATACTGGCGCACATTAAAAATGAAATTCTGTTGCCTGCTCTCAAAAATGTACACATACATAAAACACATACAGACATGCTGTATGCATACATGTGTACATAGGTACAATATATGGGTTGGGTTTGCCCCACAGCTGTGTTTAAATTGCAGATTCAGTACTGCTAGCCACGATGATGGATTCTAATAAAGGGGAGAAAAGAATACACAGAATGGCAGGATTACAGATAAAAAAAGAGTATTAATAAAGTGCCAAGATTTGTAACATCAAAGAGTTTCTTCACTACCATCTTCAGGAAGATTCAGTCCTGAGATGTAATTTACCATGGTACTGCTCACAAATTGGTTGCCTTCATGAGGCAGATCTCATATCCCTTCAGTCTTCCCTCTCCCCACTCTAGAAATGTGCCCCCCTCAGAAAAAGCAAACAAAATGGCTTTAGCTAAATCTTCAGAGGAAAATAAAAAGATCAGACAGAAAATTTCGTATTACTATAAACTGGTAGTCTTATTAACCTCCTGGAAGGGAGGCATAAGTAGTTGGCTATGAACCCAAGGTCATGACAGGATGCTTGCTGTTGATGCTTTGCAAGGAAGCAAAGAGGTGCACTGTTTTAAATCAACCTAAAGAAGACATCCTAATACAGGTAACAGCAGTTAAATGTGACACGAAACTGAGAGCCTGGTGAAAGGGGGCTGAAGAGGCCATCCATTTAAAATATTCAATTATAACAGAGATGACTGTCAAGAACCAATCAGAGGTATACGATCCTGATCGGGCCTTCCAATAAAAGTTCCTGTTGAAACAATGCACGCTTCAAGAGTTCTGCTTTCTTGAGAGGATTAATTGAGGCAGGTCCCTGACAATAGTAGTAGTGGGTAGTGTTATGGGGTTCTTGGGATATTAAAAACGATTTGTGGACTTTCTGTGAGTTAAATACAATAATAGACTGTTAACAGAGGATTTTGAAGCCAAGCTTAGTGTAGGGATTACTTGTTACCTTTTTTTTGTACAGTAGATAGATGGTAGGTCAAATTGGTTGATTATAATAGATTTTCATATCTGTGATATTTTTAATGTTTTATACTAATTTAGCAAATGGCTATGTCTAATGAAAAGAAGGACTAGGGGTGACATGGTAGCACGGTTCCAATATTTGAGGGGCTACCACCAAGAAAAGGAGGCCAACTTATTCTCCAAAGCACCTGAAGGCAGGACAAGAAACAACGGATGGAAACGAATTAAGGAAAATACCAATCTAGAACGAAGGAGAATTTTCCTGATAGTGAGAACAATAAATCAGTGGAACAGCTTGCCTTCAGAAGTTGTAGGTGCTCCACCACTGGAGTTTTTCAAGAAGAGATAGGACAAACATTTATCTGAAATGGTATAGGGTGTCCTGCCTGAGCTGGACTAGAAGACCTCCAAAATTCCTTCCAACTCTGGTATTCTGTTATAGACATTTATGTGGACCTATTGTGCCCAGGAGTAGGGGGGAATATTCAACCAGGGGCCACTCCCAGGGTGTGCTGTCCAGGAATTGGGCATGAGCTTAGGAGGCTGGAACTCACCACTACACAGGGAAGGGGTCAGGTGGGGTGGGATCTTCTACTATTCATAGCCTGCCCTCTGGTTCCCATGTCACCAATCTAATGCATTGTCCTGCCCCATGATCTTTAAGTTGATCATCCCTTCCCCCCCAGACCTTCCTGGGATTTCTCTTTCTCCCCAAATCCTTTTGGAAATGCAGGTGTGGTTCTGGAAGAAGGGGGAAGGGAAAGAGATTTGAGGAAGCTCTCTGGAAATGTGAGAAATGGAAAAAGTCCCAGGGCAGGGGCCAGCCAGTAAATTTATTAATTTATTACTAGATAAGTCAGCGGTTCTCAACCTGTGGGTCGCCACCCCATTTGGGGTCGAACGACCATTTCCTGGGGGTCGCCAAACAACGCAGTCCGCCATTTTTTTCCCCTTTTCCTTAGTTGTGCTACTCCTTTTATTCTATTGGCTTTTGAAAGCTAATAGAATACACTCTCTTGAATAGAGTCTAATTCTATTGGCTTTCAAAAGCTAATAGGAATTGTCCAGGCTGTCTCTGCCCGGCTGAGCCCACCAAAAGTCCCATTCTGCAAACGGTGCTGCAAGTTGTCTGCAGCGAAGGTGAGCTGTCTGGAGGTTTCCACCCCTCCCTGCTGAGCAACTACTAAAAATGTAAGTAAAAGAGGGCCAGGGATAGGAGGTGGGAGGCCGGTGGGCGCAGGGAGGGTTGCTGGCGCGCGTGGGGCCCGGCAGGTGCCTTACCTCCCTTGGGCTGGGCCAGCTGGCGGCCCAGCCAGTGGTCGCCCTGCGCCATCGCTGCCCCTTGCCAGCTATGCCTCGGCCGGCGCAGGGGGTGGCACCACGCATGTGCGGCGCTCCCGGGCAGGGAAAGTCGACTTACGACCGGTTGGATAGTCCTCGACTTACGACCGGTTGAGTAGTCTTCGACTTATGACCGGTTGGGGGTCGCGGCATTAAAAAAGTTGAGAACCACTGAGATAAGTAAATGCTTCAAGGAGTCCATTAGGTTAGGGGGTTTTTTTTGTCCTATTTGTTGTCTTATCTGTGTTTCTCTATGGTGATTTTATGGCTTCCTTTTTCTACAGAGTACAATCTGCCTTTTACCTGTTTAGTTTCCATTTTCTATTTCTGGTCTGTGCAAATCTTGACTTTTTATTCATCTTTTCTGCTTGGCTGTGCCTGCCTGGTTGATTCTTCTTCAAGAGTTGATCCTTTTTCAAGAGATTATAGTAAAAAAAAAAACTAACAAAAGACAACCTTGATGTCAAGCAAAATCAAGCTTTTAAAGTGTGATAAAAAAATAGAAGAAAGTAGGAAAAAAGAAAAAAATATATAAAGAATGCTCTTCACAGGTTGCAAGTACAATTATATTGTAACCTTTATCTTGCCAAGTTACAGCATAACATTTTTCTTTCTACATAGCTGTCTAATCAACACCATAAATTACAAAGTCATTTTTAATTTTTTTTACACAAAGAGTTTATAAGTGGTTTCCAATGTTTTGTTGTTTCATTTTTTACTGCAGTGAGCTTTTCTATATTCAGTGTGTTCCAGTTCCCACTATAATTCTGACTTTAATGCTTTGGATTTTCTTTTCCTGCATAACAACATCAACAACTAGATGCCCTGATGCTTTAAACTAGCAATTCTTCCACATTTTCCACACTCCGTGCATTTATAAAGTTTCACTCCTCTGTGAATTGTTCATTCATTCCTCATATTTATTATAGTTGAACATCTCCCAAAACATGACACTGATTGGCATACAATAAAAAACATTGTACGATTTTTAAAAAAAATCAAAATTATTATTAAGACTAGGAAAAAAGGATTCAGTATGGTAAGGAATGCCTCAACCTCACTGGTTCAACAGTTCTTTGAGATTCTCCAAATCTGTTGACATAGCCATGTTGTTTTGAGGGACTTCCAGAAAGATATCAAAGATGGGCACCAGGACAGAGAAGGCCCATCTCCTTTGTCCGGCCACATGTAACTCCGTTAACAGAGAGGACCTGCAACACACATTTTCTGCTAGATCTGATAGGATAGACAGGTATACTCAGGAAGAAGTAATCCAGCTTCATGCTCTGAAGGCTTTTAAAGATCTAAAACAGCACCTTGAATTGGACTTGGAATCAAACTGGCAACTAATGCACCTTACAGAGCAGAGGTGTAACATACGCTGTTATAGGGGACCACATAAATGCCCACATAATCACATCTTGTATCTGGATGCTTCTGGATGCTGAAGGACAGCTCCGTGTAGAACACAATTACAGTATTCCATCTGGGTATGAGTGACTGTAAGCAGAGCTTCCTGATCCAGGAATGGCCACAATTGGCACACGACATGAAGCTGTTCAAAGGCCCTCTTAGCCAAAGCTGCCACCTGCGCTTTGAATAGAACTCATAATTCTGAGAGGACCCCTGGTTGTGCAGAGTGTCTTTCAGCAGTACGTAACATTACTCTTGGAATTTAACAGTATTCATAATACTTTCTCATTTGTAGGCATCCTTTACTTGCAAGTAGGAGTACTGTTTATAATAAAGTTCTTTCTACAAGTTACATCATCTACAGTTCCTGTTTGCATCCAAAATCTTTAACGGAAATTAATACATCTATTCAGATTGAAATGCATTCTAAATGTTATACATGTAGGCAACTTCTGTTTCATATAGATGGTTTTTTAGGTAAATTAAGAAGAAAATCAAAAACGCCATCGGTTTTTTGAATTCCTTAATCTTTTTTGTGGACTCTTGTCTGCCCAGGACAAGATGCCATTAAGAAATAACAGGACAAATTCATTTATAGAATTTGGGAAACTGTAAAATTAGTGTGGAATATCATAGTTTGAACAAAGTCACTTGGATTAGAAAAACAGTTGAATGGACTGAAATGTTAAAATGGAAATATACATTAGTGGCCAAAATTGTGGAAACCTTTTGGGAAAAGTATATTTTTGAGGTTTGATGGCTAATAACACCATTTCTTTTGGAGTAGTACCATAAAATTATATATCAATGGAAAGATAATTTAATCAAGAATGTAATGCAGCATAGTTTGTTCAATTATCTGTACTGCATTCTATGAAAAGCAATAGCCAAATAATCTGAAAAAGGAAGCACAATTTGCTTAGGTTGATATCAGGTAGCTTTCCTTCATCTGATTGTAGCCAATGAGCATAAGTGTTTAGAGAGCCAATCAGGTGTCATCTTGTTTTGGCAATGAGCCAATCGGATCACAGTAGGATTCAGTTATTGATGTCCTGTATTGAAGCTGAGAGGAGGACATTTGTCAGTGTGTTATGTGATCGCTATCAAGTTGGTTGGGGTTTTTTGTGTTCGTTCATTTAGTAAGCTTGTAAAATGTAATAAAATTAAAGTGATGGTGCAAAGAGTTGACTGGTTGCCCAAAAAGCGATGTAAAATAGAATTATTAAGTGACCAAGGCTACAGTTATAAAGAAGTTAGAAGAAAAATCGGTAGAAACTTAACCAAAGGCGGCATTTCTACTGTACACGTTTCCCAAAAGGTTTCCACAATTTTGGCCACTACTGTAACTAATTTCCCATTTTGGCCACTACTGTAACTAATTTCCCATTTTGGCCACTACTGTAACTAATTTCCCATTTCCCAGGCAGATCAGAAATCCTGAAGTCCTACATGAATCTCCCTCCATAAGGATTATAAAATATTAGTACAATAAAATAGAAAATATACCTCCTCTTCACCTCTATAGCTTTTATTCCACCTTCCACAGCTGATTATTATGCACATCTTCTAGATTCATTTGACCACAAACCAAGCTCTCAAGCCCTATTGAGGGAACCAGCTTTTAAAGAGATGGTATGTTCTCCATGCCTCAGAACTGAGAACTCAGTATGTGTAGAAAGTATAAAATGAATGAGATAATGGTGCACTTTACTGACTCACCCATTCTCCTGTACATTTCCATAACTCCCCAGTAGGATCATCCTATGACTAGTAAGGCCACTGATCTATCTTCAGCTCTTATTGCATGCAAGCACTTAGGTGTTTTCCTGTGGGGATGTGCCAGGTTCCCTTTTTGGGTGCCCTGCCATTCTGGGAGAGGGGGAGAAAAGACGCTCTGGGGGATCATTCTTTGCATGCTTTCGCTTTGCAGTAACCACATGGAAACTAGGGAGGGGGATCGTCTCTGGAGACAGGACGGACTCCTTCCCAGCCAGTTCCCGCCCGTGTATTTGGACATCTTAATCTACACTGAAATCAAGCAGAACATGTGAGAGCAGTCCTCCAAAAATGACGAGCTGCCAGGCTGCATGTCGAACTCTAAATGCGAGTTCCACCAGACTAAAATAAGATTGCCTAGGCTACCATATCTCGCATGAAAGGATTGAAATGGACCCGGAAAAAGTTAAGAGCTGTGCTGGATTGGGCGCCATCCCACGCTAGGAAGCAACTGCAAAGCTTCCTAGGATTTGCAAACTTTTACTGGCAATTCATTCTCTCATTTGCCCAGATAGCACTCTCCATCATGAACTTACTCAAAATGAAAGGAGGGGGCAAACCTAAAACTAATCGACCACTTAAGTGGTCGAAGGAATGCAAAACTGCTTTTGAAAAGCTCCAGCGCTTGTTTGCAGCCGAACCAGTGTTAAAAAACACCCTGAACCGATGAAGCCATTTGTTATGTAACTTGATGCAAGTGACGTGGCTATGGGAGCGGTGCTTCTGTAGGGAAATGAAAGCAGACTACTGCAGCCTTGCACTTACACTTCCAAAAAGCTTTCTGAAATTGAGCAATGATGGGCAGTGTGGGACAAAAAGGCTTATGTGGTGAGATGGGTGCTCCTGGCCTGGAGTCACTACTTAGAAGGAAGTAAAATACCTTTGGAAGTCTGGACTGATCACAAGAATTTAGAGGCACTTAAAACCCCTTAAAAACTTTCTCCTAAACAAGCATGATGGTCACAGTACTTTAACCTCTTTGACTCCACCCAATGCACTGTCATGGATGCTGCAATACAACTGCTCCAAAGCAGAAATAATCAAGCCAATGCTCCTGTCCTATCAGCTGTTCAAGTGATCACCTGAGCCCAGGGGAGAGAAAAAGTGCCAATACCTAAAGATATCACTTCTGCTCTACAATCCTCCCTGAAGGAATAAGTGATTTCAAATTCACAGCAATGTTTGCTCAATCCGAAGCAGAGTAGCCTGGGTGGGGGCAAAATTTATGTTCCAGAAAGTCATGAGTTGTTGTCATGACTCTAAAATGGTGGGACATTTTGGTTTTGTGAAAACATTGCACCTAGTTAAGAGGCAATTTTGGTGGCCATTCCTCAAGAAAGACATTGAAGGCTACATTGCCAGCTGTCTGGTGTGCGCTTCGACAAAGCGACATCAAGCAAAACTCAGGGGCTTCTTCAAAAAATAGCTGAGCCGTCAGCACCTTGAAGAGAGATCTCTATGGACTTTATTGTGCAACTCCCCCAAAGCGTAATTTGGGTGGTGACTGATCTGTTCTCCAAGCAAGTGCATTTTATTCCTTGTCAAAAGATCCCAACTGCCCGAGGTCTTCCTAAACTGTTTCTGCATCATATTTATAGAATACATGGAGCACCTCACCTCAATTATTTCAGATAGGGGGGTGTAAATCACCTCTAAGTTTTGGCAGGCCTTTTTGGACTTATTGGGATGACCCTTAGCTCCAGTCACCACCTCCAAACGAATGGAGGGTGTGAACGAATGAACTCAGTATTGGAACAATACCTTAGATCAGTGGTTCTCAACCTGTGGGTCGGGATCCCATTTGGGGTCGAACGACCATTTCACGGGGGTCGCCAAACAAGGCTGTCCGCCATTTTTCCCCCTTTTCTTTGGCCACGCCCCTGGCACCTGGTGATGTATAAGTGGTTGGGGGTCACCCCAACATGGGGAACTGTATTATGGGGTCGCAGCATTAGAAAGGTTGAGAACCACTGCCTTAGATGCTTTATTATCAACAAGATAACTGGACTGGTCTCTTGCCATTTGTGGAAGTGTCATATAACTATGTGCACAGCAGTAGTGGCTTCACCTTTTTGATTGGCTACCAGTCAAGACCTCACACCCATGCCAGAATTCCCCGTTAACGACCCTGGGATACTGTCCCTGAAGGTATGGGTCTCCCAATTACAAAATACCTGGCCTGTCATACAAAAAGCACTCGCAGATGCTCGTGATACCTATAAAGCACAAGCTAACAAAAAAAGAACTGAGCCAAAACCTTTTAAAGTGAGAGATTATATTTATCTATCTACTCACTATTTGCAGTCACTTCAACCTTCCAAGAAATTCAGACCTAAGTTTGTGGGACCTTTCCCCATCAAACACCTGATTAACTGTCACAGTAGAATTAGACTTGCCAAAGTCATTGCACTGGGTCCATCTGGTTTTTCATTGTAGTTTATTGAAACTCAAGGTTTCCTTGCCCCTTAGGCCAGTCCCTCTCCCGGTTTCCAAGCCTTTAATGATGAAGGTTGAACTATACTTTGAGGCGAAGGAGATATTGGATTCCCATAAGCACAGGGGAAACCTCCAACATTTAGTGGCATGGAAGGACATTCTTACCAGCCAGAATGAATGGGTTAATTCTCAGCATGTTAGAGCCCCTAGGCTAATGAAACTTTTTCATAATCAATATCCTAATAAAGCTAAATGATTGTTGTAATTGTCTTTTGTCTTCCATCTTTTGCAGGGTTAATCCTTCTCTTTGGGAGGGGCAGCATGTCAGATCCCCCTCCTGCCATTTTGGTGGGAGGAGGACAATGTTCTGGGGGAGCATTCTTTGCATGCTTTCACTTTGCTGCAACCACATGGAGGACGGGCTCCTTCCCAGACAGTTTCAGCCTGGTTCCAAGGTGCCCTGAAGATGACCCATTATCTGTCCTATACATCAGTGCTCTCAAAACAACCTTGCAGCACAGTATTGGTTGTTGGTGGACTGGCCAGGGGGGATGGGCTTTGCGGGGAAGAATAGTTTGGTGCTTTGCATGGGAATGTTAGATTCCACTTGACTTTGCTACAACCACTGTTTCTCAGTAAAAGTTCTTTTGATTAAACACATGGCATCAAGAGTTATACTTTCCTGAGAGAGACAGCTCATCCAGGTCCTTACAGGATGTTTGGAAAGTAGGTTTCCACTTCAAACCAAAGATCTTTGCACATTGCATACAATAATAAGCTTCCTCCCAGGTCTGACTCCTTTGATGATGAGTAAGTTGACTGTTTCAAATGAAGCTCATTCCATGGATTTATATGATTTTTCTTGTGTTAATCTTTTTATTAGAACTAAGTGCACAATTCTCAATGAAGCTTGTTCCACATTCCATTTTCTCCTGTGTGGATCCCTTTATGACAAATAAAGATGCTGTAGTCATTAAATCCTTTTTCACACTCAGTGCATTTATACGGTTCCTCCCTTGTGTAGATACTTTGTTGGCAAATAAGGTCTTTGTTGACAATCAAGGTCTTTCCCCATTCTAGGCATTTATACGGGTTATCCCTTGTGTGAGTCCTTAGGTGGCGTGTAAGGTCTCTTTGATCGAAATAGCTCTTTCCACACTCCATGCATTTATGTGGTCTCTCCCCTGTGTGGATCCTTTTATGAGAATTAAGCTGTCCTTTCTTTGCAAAGCTCTTTTCACACTCAGTACATTTATATGGTTTCTCCCCTGTGTGGATTCTTTCATGATCAGTAAGATTTCCTTTCTGACTGAACTGCTTTCCACACTCCATACATTTATATGGTCTCTCACCAGTGTGGATTCTTCTATGAGAATTAAGTTGTCCTTTCTGGGCAAAGCTCTTTTCACAGTCCAGGCATTTATACGGTTTATCCCCCGTGTGGATCCTTTGGTGGCGAGTAAGATCTTTGTTGTCAAGAAAGCGCTTTCCACACTCCAAGCACTTATATGGTCTTTCCCCTGTGTGGATCTTTTGGTGTCGAGCCAGATTACAGTTTGTACTGAAGCCCTTTCCACACTCTGGGCATTTATAAGGTTTCTCCCCTGTGTGAACCCACTGATGAGAATTAAGCTGTCCTTTCTGAGTAAAGCTCTTTCCACACTCTGGGCATTTATACAGACTCTCACCTGTGTGGATCCTTTGATGGGTAATGAGATCTCTATTCTCAATGAATCTCTTTCCACACTCCCTGCAACTATACATTTTCTCCCCTGTGTGGGTCCTGTGATGACGAATTAGATGACCATTTGTTCTGAAGGCTTTTCCACACTCACTACATTTATAAGGTTTTTCTCCTGTGTGGATCCTTTCATGACAAGTAAGATGTCCTTTCCTAGTAAATGCCTTTCCACACTCCAGGCATTTATATGGTCTTTCGCCTGTGTGGATCTTTTGGCAGGAAATAATATTTCTATTGTCAATAAACCTCTTTCTCCACCCCAACCGTTTATTTAGTCTCTCCTCAGCGTGGATGTTTTTATGATGAGTAAGTGTTCTATCCTGACAAAAGCTTTTTCCATACTCCATGCATTTATATGTTCTCTCCCCTTTGTGGATCCTCTGATGGTGATTAAAAATATTGTTGATGCTGAAGCTCTTTCCAGACTTCATGCACACTTTCATGTCTCTGCTCAGACTGAAATCCTTACCAACTTTTAGGGATGTATGTGATCTGTATTTCCTATACAGTTTCTTAAGAAAAGTAAGAGAGAATAAATTATTGACGTATTTTCCATAAGTTATAAAGCCTTTGGTCTGACTTCTGCTATACTCGTGCAAATCAAACCTATTTTCCTCCCTTTTGCTGGAATTTTCCTTTTTCTTCCCTTTCTGGGTCAGGAAGCTATGGATTCCAACAGGAAGAGAAGTCGGGAACCTGTCGCCCATGTCTTGTGAGTGTCTTCTCCCTTGACTTTTTGGATCCCCTTCACAGTTAACCATTACTTCTTCCACTTCATGCTTTGTTGTTTGTAGTGGCATTAACCTCACCTGCTCGTCATTCTCCTCCTCCAGCCCATCACCTTCTTGGAAAAAAAGAAGAAGTCCCCATTAGAATTTAGAATGGTTAAGGAGGGGAGTCTACCCATCTCAAAAACTACCGTATATGCCGGTGTATTAGGCGACCCGGCGTATAAGACGACCCCCGTCTTTATCGCCGAGCCACATTCCTAGAACGTCGTCTTATACGCCGGAAACTACCAGTATTTCCGGCGTATAAGACGACTCGGCGTATAAGACGACCCCCGTCTTTGGCACCGAGTTTAGCGCTTCCGGAAGTCGTCTTATACGCCGGCATATACGGTATTCATGTTCCAAGTTTGGCACCAGCTATTTGGGCAAAGTTTCCCCTAAAGACCCTATGTTTGTTTGTGATCTAGTAGGGCTCTGGTCATCGATTGGTTTTATAAGATTAGGAAACGTTTGAAAGGAGTACACTAATTCAGGTGATGGCCAGGTAGGTGTCAATGATCATTTTAAGCAACTGAGTGCAGGGATCTTCCCTGTTCACCTCTCTCTGAAAAACCCTTCCCCAATGAATGGAATGCAAAGAAAAGAGACGTACTCAGAGCAGCCATATTCCTAGAAACCTCCAGCAGGACTTCACTGCATAAGGCCCGCTGTCTGGGATCCAGCAGTGCCCACTCCTCCTCTGTGAAGTCCACAGCCATCTCTTCAAAGGAATTAGAGCCCTAGAAAGAGAATGTTCCTTATCATTCAATCCCAGGAAAGACCTTGTTAAGTTTTCCCTCTTACTGCACAAAACCGAAAACAGAGCTTTGTAAGGGACCAAACAGACATTTTCTTATAGGAGAGGTTTATGTCTGTATGTGCACCTAGTTTTGGGGGCTTGGAAACCTTGCCTCTGTCTAACTTCACAAATCATGGCTTAGGGGCATCCAAGCTGTAGAATGGCAACAGAGCCTCCATTGGGAGCCTCCCAGTGGCCTAGAATAACTCAGCAAGGAGGTTTTGGGGAGCAGAATCCCCTGACCTCACCTCAACTTGGGGACCAAATTCCAAATGTGTTAAAAAAAACGGGATACGCCCACTTGGGATTTCTTCCCTAGCTTAATTCAAAATGTTGGATATAAGCCTGTAAATCGAAGTCATTTGACTAACAATCTGTCTGTTGCAGCCACGTAGCACTGCAACCAGTTTTAGTCACATTACAAAAAAAGATGTTGAGACTTTGGAAAAAGTGAAATGAAGAGCAACTAAGACGATTAAAAGCCTGGAGACTAAAACATATGAAGAACAGTTGCAGGGATTGGGTAGGGTGAATCTAAAGAAAAGAAGGATCAGGGATGACAAGATAGCAGTATTCCAGTATTTGAGGGGCTGCCACAAAGAAGGGGGTGGGGGTCAACTTATTTTCCAAAGCACCAGAGGGCAGGACAAGAAACAACGGATGGAAACTAATCAAGGAGAGAAGCAACCTGGAATTAAGGAGAAATTTCACAAACAGTGAGGACAATTAAACCAGTGGAAGTTGTACGTGCTTCATCACTGGAGGTTTTTAAGAAAAGACTGGACAGCCACCTGTCTGAAGTGGTATACGGTCTCCTGCAGGGGGTTGGACTAGATGACTTCCAAGGTTCCTTCCAGCTCTATTCTGATTGGTTGGTTGGTTGGTTGGTTGATTGATTAAAGAATTTTACATGGGAAATCTATTATTCATTTTTAAGTGGATATGCTGGTACATTTCTGTAGGGGTCTTTATGCTATTACTAGTCTATTCATGGATTTCATCTTTTTAATTGGTTTTCGGTAACTTTTTCAACAAATAAATAACATTTCCTAATACAAGCCTCTCGGTCCATGAGCTGTCTCTTATTTATTTATTTATTTATTTATTTATGAGACTTATATACCGCTTTAAGTGTGAGCACTCTCTAAGCGGTGTACACCAGTAAGCAATGTATATATATATATTTACATTTCCCAACAATCTGGGTCCTCATTTTACCTACCCTGGAAGGATGGAAGGCTGAGTCAACCTTAAGCCGGTGAGATTTGAACCGCTGACCTGCTGAACACAGTCAGCTAAAGTGGCCTGCAGTACTGCACTTTAACTGCTGCGCCACCTCGGCTCTTGTTTGTATCTCTTGTTTGTATCTCCAAAATAATCTGAAAGTCGAATGTAAGTAATTCATTGGCTCATTCAGGGGTGTGGGGGAAGAACACACTGTGTTCAAATGCACACAGATTCAGCATTTGGCAGAAAAAGCAGCTCACAAATAAGAGAAAGCTTGAACTCTATTGCTTTCAGAGGAAACCTACACTTACCTGACAAGGTGGCCCATGTTGGATCCTCCTGAAAAATAGCTCTTGAGAAGGACTGGGTTGGTCTCCTCTTTCTTGGAGCTCTGCTGGGATCTCCCTTGTGAACAGCTCCTGCATCTGAAAGCACAGCCTCATTTATGATCCACTTGCAGAAGATCATAACCATGTTAGCTCACCTGCCTCACCCTCTGTCTCTCTACTTATACTTCTACAGCCCAGATAAAGAGAAGTCAAGGTTTCTGGTCTCTCTCTCTCTCTCTCTCTACCTGCCATTTCTCAGTAAATCCCTGCCAATTTTTGTGAAATGCTTAATTGGCTCTTTTTATTTCCTCTTTTCATTCTGATCAGGAGTTCTTTACCTTCTCCCCGTTTCTTGATAGGTGTAGTGTTTCCTTCTTTGTGGATGAACTTTTTCCTGTTCTATCTCTTCCTCCAGGAGTATCTTCCTTTACAGTAGTGGACAAAATTATGGAAATCTTTTGGGAAAAGTGTACAGTAGAAATGCCACCTTTGGTTAAGTTTCCACCAATTTTTCTTCTAATTTCTTTATAACTGTAGCCTTGTTCACTTAATAGTTCTATTTTACATTGCTTTCTAGGCACCCGTAAATGCTTTGCACCACTACTTTAATTTTCTTACATTTTACAAGCTCACTAAAGGAAAGAACACAAAAAAACCCCAACCAACTTGATAGGGATCACATAACACACTGACAAACGTCCTCCTCTCAGCTTCAATACCTGACATCAATAACTGAATCCTGTGATCCGATTGGCTCATTGCCAAAACAAGATGACACCTGATTGGCTCCCTAAACACTCACACTCATTGGCTACAATCAGATGAAGGAAAGCTACCTGATATCAACCTAAGCAAGTTGTGCTTCCTTTTTCTGGTTATTTGGCTATCGCTTTTCATAGAATGCAGTACAGATAATTGAACAAACTTTGTTGCATTACATTCTTGATTATCTTTCCATTGATATATAGTTTTATGGTACTACTCCAAAAAAAAGGTGATGTTATTAGCCATCAAACCTCAAAAATACACTTTCCCCAAAAGGTTTCCACAATTTTGGCCACTACTGTAGATTGAGGGTCTCAGATAGCAAAATGTTCAGAGATCAGAGGAAGATGGAGTGTGTATATTGAAACACTATACAGTAGAGATTTGGACACCCACTTTCCTTAGAAGAAATTCCCTAATTGCAAGAAACTCTGGTAATAGAAGATGAGGTATGATCAGCACTCCCTTTATGACCAAGTTGATATAGGAACAAAAGGAATATCCATAGAAATAGGCATGTAAAAGAAGAAGAAATGAAAGTTCTGGCTGGCTCAGGAATTCTGGGAGTTGAAGTCCATGAGTCATAAAAGAGCCAAGATTGCCTACCCCTGTTCTAAAATAAGAAAAGATAATCTTTATTGTCATTTTTTTACTGTGGGCACAACGGCACATATCAAAAATGAAATTTTGTTGCCCGCTCTCAAAGTGAAACACAAACATGACACACACCTAAAACATACTATGTACAACATATGTATAGATTCACACCCCTACATATACGTAGCAAATAAATATTAACTATTGTCCATCTTGAATAAATAACAGAAGGAGGAAGCTTGAGAGTTCGCAAGGTTAATGCTGTACGGAATGAAACTATGGCTGAATCTGGATGTTCTGCTATGGATACCACGAAGCCCCCTCCTCCCAGAAGGTAGCAAGGAAAACAGATCGTGAAGAGGATGTGTAGTGTCCCAGATAATCTTACGGACCCTGCTCAAGCAACGCTTCTGTGCTATGTCCTGGATGGGAGGGAGGGAACAGCCAATGATCTTTTCGGCCATTCTCACCACTCTCTGCAGGGTTAATTGGGGAAGCAAATTTGCTTAATGACTGAAGGATTCATTTAACGTGTCCCAAAGGTGCTTTTTCACAAGGCAACTGGACTTTCTTGTTTTTTTCTTTGAAGACATTTCGCTTCTCCTCCAAGAAGCTTCCTCACCTCTGACTGGATGGTGGCCTCAACGACTCTCTAAAAGGAGGCAAATGACTAGCTGCCTGCAAGGAGTATAAATCCTTCCACTCCCCACCATCTAGTCAGAGCTGAAGAAGCTTCTTGGGTGAGAAGCGAAACGTCAAGAAAAAACAAGAAAGTCCAGTTGCCTCATGAAACGGCACCTTTGGGACAACCATGACCTGGATGACCGAGAATCTCCGTAGAGATTCATGTAACAATTGCAGTGATTCACTTAACAACCACGGCAAAAAAGGTTGTAAAATTGAATGTGACTCACTTTAACAACCACCTTGCTTAACAATAGAAATGCTGGCCTCCGTTGTGGTCCTAAGTCAAGGAGTACCAAGGAGACCTCTTAAATTCAGGTTTGGACTCTACATCCCTGGTCTGCAAACCATTGATCAGCCTTTTGAAGCAGTCCAGACAAAACGCAGGACAGCAAATACTAGCTCGATCTTTATCGTAAAGCCACATTTAATAGACTCTTGCAATTCTGAAAGTATTTCTCTCATCCTCTCTTTATACTCACTGGAAAACTAGGGAAGGGTTTGATGATTTATTTTTTTTCACCACATCCCCCTCCTGCAGTCATCTTTTGGGGACTGAGATTATCTTTTACATTATGACTTTAAGTGCACAAGTACAGTACACTGGGACCTGGCTCAATATCAGTAACTATGAGAGGGATTTTGGAGTCCTAGTTAACAAACATTTAAATCTGAGCCAGTAGTGTGCTGCAGCTGCCAAAAAAGCCAACACAGTCCTAGGCTGCATTAACAGAGGGATAAAATCAAGATCACGTGAATCATAGAATCAAGATAATGCCACTTTATAATGCCTTCGTAAGGCCACACTTGGAATACTGTATTCAGTTTTGGTCACCACACCATGTAAAAAAGATGTTGAGACTCTAGAAAGAGTGCAGAGAAGAGCAACAAAGATGATCAGGGGACTGGAGGCTAAAACATATAAAGAACAGTTGCTGGAATTGAGTATGTCAAATTTAATGAAGAGAAGGAGGAGGGGTGACATGATAGCAGTGTTTCAATATTTCAGGGGTTGCCACAAAGAAGAGGGGGTCAAGCTATTCTCCAAGGCAACAGAGAGCAGGACAAGAAGCAACGGATGGAAACTAATCAAGGAGAGAAGCAACCTAGAACTAAGGAGAAATTTCCTGACAGTTAGAACAATTAACCAGTGGAACAACTTGCCTCCAGAAGTTGTGAATGCTCCAACAGTGAAAATTTTTATAGAAGAAACTGCACAACCATTTGTCTGAAATGGTATGGGGTTTCCTGCCTGAGCAGGGGGTTGGACTAGAAGGCCACCAAGGTCCCTTCCAACTCTTCTCTTCTATTCTCTATTCTCTCTATTCTCTCTAAGTTATAATAAACTTATTATGGCCAGGTATTCCACCAAAGGAGCAATTAACAAATGTAAACCAGACCATTCAAAATGCCAATCAAGAGAACCAATCAGTTGCTTGAATTCGAATATAGCTCCAACAAACAAACTGCGCCACCAACTGACCACACTGGAACACAAGACCTTTACGAACTAAGGAGAATATGACAAGAAAATCTTGCTGATGATGTTATCTAGCTTGGTAATGAAGCGTTCAGGAATTATACTAAAGCAAGCTCCGAGAACAAACCACAGCCAAAATCTAATCTCTAGTCTCTTCTATCCTATGGCTGCCCAGTCTAAGGCTTGTCTGCATCTTCCACAGTTATTCCCACATATAATTAGACCAGGGGTCTTCAAACATGGCCCTTTTATGACTTGTGGACTTCACCTCCCAGAATTCCTCAGCCAGGCACGCCTGGCTGAGGAATTCTGGGAGTTTAAGTCCACAAGTCATAAAAGGGCCAAATATGAAGACCCCTTGCATCAGACTATCTCAGCACACGTTCTCTACCTCTGTTTTCTCTGCGATTGTTTCGTAAAGAGGCATGTAAGAGGATGAAATTCCCTCTCACCTGCCGGCCCTCTCCCGGGGGCTCCCGGGGGGCGGAGGAGGGCGGCGGGGCGAGCAGGAAGCCCTCGGCCAGGGCCACCGCCTGGGCGCAGCTCTCCGCCCCGCACTCCCGCAGCCAGCCCGCCAGCTCCGGGGGCAGCAGGGCCAGCAGCTGCTCCAGCACCACCCGGTCCAGCATCTCGGCTTTGCCGCTCCGCTCGGGCCGCAGCCATCCGCGGCACAGCCGGTGAAGGCGGCTGCAGAGCGCCCGGGGCCCCTCGGCCTCTCGGGGGCGGCAGCTGCGGAAGCGCCGGCGCTCGGCCTCTGAGCTGCGGGACCCCCCGGGGTGGCCGCTCAGGTCGCTGCCGCCGCCGCCGCTCCCCTCCTGAAGGGCCGCTGCTGCTCCCGCCTCCGGAGATCCCGGGGCCGCCATTCGGCCTCCCGCTTCGTCGCGGCCCCAACTGGGGAAAGCTCCCTCTGAGGCGGCCTTCGCTCACGGCGGACCCTTCCTCAGACACTCCTCCCCTTGCCACGCCCCTTTCCCTGTTTCATGGGGGGCGATAAGGGGCGGGGCTCCGGTTCCTCAGAGCTTCTGAGGCGGAGAAGAGCAGCCGCAAGTCGCTCCCGCCTCCGCTTGTCCCGCCCTCCTATCCCCTCAGAATCTTAGAGAGTGCTGCATCCTAGAGAGGGGGAAACCCTTATAAGCCCCTTCCCCTCCCGCCCTTCGTTTACTGCTCCTGCCCTAGAGCGTCTCCCACTGCAACCCACCGCTTCGCCTGTCAAAGATCTGCGCGTGCTCCCTTCCTTGCGAACGTTTAAACCGGGGGGGGGGGCTTCAAACTTGGCCGTTTTGTGACTCGTGGACTTCAACTCCCAGAATTCCTCAGCCAGCCTGCCTGGCTGAGGAATTCTGGGAGTTGAAGTCCACGAGTCACAAAAGGGCCAAGTTTGAAGACCCCCCCCCCCGGTTTAAACAATCGGGGGGTGGGAAAAGATGGGGCGGTGTGGAGAAAGACGAATGAGCTGGGGATGCTGGGTATCATGGATGAGTGGGGGCTGAAATGAGCAAAGCGGCCTTGGTTGGAAACTGGTTGGATTTGCTGCTTCCGGGCAGCTGGGATTTCTCTTTTTCCCAGAATCCTCTTGGAAATGTGGACAGGTGGAAGAAATTGGGGCTGGGAGGGGGAGAGATCTGTTGTAGGGCTTTGAAAGTAAGAGAGATGCAAAGAGCCCCAGGGCAGGCATCCAGCTAATAAATGTATTTATCTATTATTAAATAAAGAAGCAAATATAGAATACAGGTAGTCCTTGACTTACAACAGTTCATTTAGTGACTGTTCAAGGGTACCATGGCACTGAAAAATGTGATTGACCATTGTTTTTCAGAGTTACAACCTTTGTAAGCATCCCATGGTCACTTGATCAAAATTTGTAGGCTTGGCAACTTACTCATATTTATGACCATTAGTCTCCCAAGATCATGTCATCCCCCCTTTTGTGACCTGCTGACCAGCCAAGTTAATGTGGGAAGCCAGATTGACTTAACAACTGGGTTACTGACTTATTAACTGCAGTGATTCACTTAACAACTGTGGCAAGAAAGGTTGCAAAATGGGGCAAAACCCACTTAACAAATGTCTCACTTAACAACAGAAATGTTGGGTTCAGTTGGGGTCATAGGTTGAGGACTACCTGTAGAGAATAAGAGTTGGACGGGGCGTTAGAAGTCTTCTAGTCATCTAGTGCAACCCGCTGCTCAAGCAGGAGACTCCCCAGAGTTGCTGGATATCAGATAGCTCTTATATTTAATTAGTTAATATATTAATCACAGTACACAGAACTACATTTAAAAACAAGGGTGCATTAGGGAGGAAAAAAGAGACAATATTTCACACTCAGTTGCTTATTAAGAGAGTTGCTTTTTAGTTTAAAATGGCCTTGCATCCCAGTCTGCCTCTTAGCATCTTCTCCTACCTTTTATTAACATTCTTGGCTTTTGAAGTGTTTTATGGCAGAGCTGATAAGGTTTATTGCCTAAGTGCCCAGGAAGAAAAGAGATTAAAGTTTTGAAAAAGCAATTCCTACACTGGCAATACTTTTCTCTACACAACTTTATAGAAGCAAAAGTTGGAGAAGCAGGATAGATGAATATTGATGCTTTTCAACTTTGATGTAGGGAGAGGATTCTTGAAAATAGCCAGTCAGGAAAACCAACATATGGATCACAGAAAAAAAAATCAATCCATGGTTATTTATTAAATTTCTACGCCACCCACCTCACTGATACAGCAACTCTGGGCGGCTTACAATACCTATTTGGGGCATAAAATGCTGCCACAAAGAAGAGGGAGTCAAACTATTTCCCAAGGCACCTGAAGGCAGGACAAGAAGCAACGGATGGAAACTAATCAAGGAGAGAAGCAACCTAGAACTAAGGAGAAACTTCCTGACAAATAGAACAATTAACCAGTGGAACAACCTGCCTCCAGAAGCGGTGAATGCTCCAACATTGGAAGTTTTTAAGAAAAGACTGGACAGCCATTTGTCTGAAATGGTATAGGGTTTTCTGCCTGAGCAGGGGGTTGGACTAGATGACCTCCAAGGTCCCTTCCAACTTCTTCTTCTTCTTCTTCTTCTTCTTCTTCTTCTTCTTCTTCTTCTTCTTCTTCTTCTTCTTCTTCTTCTTCTTCTTCTTCTTCTTCTTCTTCTTATTATTATTATTATTATTATTATTATTATTATTATTATTGAGGAACTTTTTTTTGAGGAATATTATTCAAAGACCCAACTCCACTGAAATGATGGAAGGAAAATGAATAAAAACAAGGAAGATGGCTTTTATTACAGAAGCAACGAACACACCTTTGAGATTCCTAAAGAGCCAGGTATCCTGGACAAGTTTTATCTGGTGATTTTATCTGCTTTGATGGCCTATCAATCAATCAATCAATCAAATGACTGATGTGATGGCCCAGTTCAAACAGTACCATTTGCTCAGCAATGATACAGAAGTAGTTTCTACCGAATTCAGACATGTTGTTTTAAACTTCCCAGTCTAGCATTGCTTTGCCCAGGTCAAGTATGAGAAAAAGTTTCAGGCAATAAACACACAGAATAAAAATCTGAAATGATTTATTCAACAAAGCAAATATTTTTTTGCTGCACATTATAAGGTACACAAGACGTTGAGTTACAGATAAGGGAATAATTAGTTATATTCAGGGAAGGAGTATGTCCAAAGAAAAGAATATAGAGTCAAAGATGGACTCTTAATCCTACAGCTTCATTCTGTCCTCCTCAGACATTATTATGGGCCTTTAATCTTGGAATTCCTGATTACCTCCTGTCCCATCTCTAAACAGGGCTGATCCTGCTTATCTAGATAAGGTTGACCAAGTGCCAGAAATTACCAATTAGGTTTTAGTCTTACCTGGTGATTTTATCTGCTTTGATGGCCCAAAGCAGATACTCCAACAATTAGAACACAGGGCTATGGCCTTATACCAACCCAAATTTTGGGTTCGGTACATGGACGACACGTTTGCAGTTGTTAAAAAACAACATGTAGCTACCTTTATGGAAACACTAAACTCGATCTTCTCCCTGCTCCGACATTCAGTTCACAGTGGAGGAAGAAAAACAAGGCCATTTGGCCTTCCTGGATGTATCAATCTACCATCAACCTGGGTCGTTACATACAGGAGTGTACCGTAAATCCACCCATACGGACAGAATCCTCCACTACAGGAGCAACCATCTGGTGTCCCATAAAGCTAGCTGCATTAAAACATTGTTTAAGCACGTGGACTCCCACTGCAGCACTGAGGAATTCAAAAAGGAAGAAAGAAAACATCTCTTCCGTATTTGCCAACGCAATGGGTACCCTTTGAGATTTATCAGACAGCATGGCACCACATCCCACCTCCGGAATAACCAAAGGAGAGAGGAACCATCACAACAAAAGACACGCATTTCTCTACCATATATTAATAACGTCTCAGAGGCGACAGCTAGATTGCTGGCCCCCTATGGGATAGAAGTGGCTCACAAACCCAATCAGAAATTATGGTCCAAAGTCATGCGCCCCAAGGACCCACTCCCTGCCATGGACAAATCAGCAGTAATCTATAAAATCAACTGCAAGAACTGCGATGGCAATTATGTGGGTGAAACAGCGAAGTGTTTAAGAACACGCCTACATGAGCACAAGTTAGCTATAAGAAGGGGCAACCAGCATTCTCAATTATGGATGCACATGGCACAGCATGGCCACTTGTTTGACTTTGAGAATACACGTATCGTGTCTGAAGATGCCACTAAAGGAGGCCGGCTATTGAAAGAGGCATGGTACTCCAACAATGACTCAATTAACCGTCACGCTGATTTACATCCAGCACAAGCATTGAGGAAATGGGATTACAGCTACCATTCCAACCACCATAAACGGTTTGATCAATGCTCACGTGGTTGCAATTGTGACGAAGTACCTGACCCCCACCCTGAGCAGATACACAGTGCCTCAGCCAACCCCCGATACGTCAGGAGCACCCCCACAATGCCTGACCAACATCAACGGCATCCCAACGAACAACCAGGGAATCTACCATCTCCAAACATATGCAAGCACTCGTCGATGGAGGACCTGTGTCTCCCCCAGCACCACCCCAATGGACCCCTACCCTTGAAGCATGAAGACGGCAATGGAGAATCTGGGAGATCCAGTAAGAGGATCCTGCAACCCAATGCTATGGAGGACGATGACGAGGATTGTACGATGAAAAAAGGGGGGGAGAAGAAAGGGAGAGCTGCACAGATGCCCGTGCGTGTTAAAAAAGGGAGGGGGACGATCTTTCTTTCAGATCTGCCGCAAACAAAGAGCATCTCCACCAGCAACTCGCCCCCCCCCCGGAATGAACATCTCGAACCCTTCTCGAGTAAAAAAGATGACCATCGTCAACTGAGGACGATGGATACAAGAGGGGGGAGGGAGAGCGTGGGGATTCATACGCTCCAGTCTTGCTTGCATACTAGCTATAGGGGAAACATCAACAACGGCAATAGCGAAGGACACATAACATGGAGGGGGGAGGAACATAAAGAGAGAGGTGGAACCATTACTCATTCACACAGCAAACAGGTAGAACAACGGGAAACGGTGAAAACAACGATAGAACAAGGGAGGAGCGTAGGATTGCCCAAATATGTAACGCCCGTACAAATGCTATTGGTAATAATAGGGGAGTGAGAGATAAGGACATGAAACAGGGAAAACATCGACCCGCAGCGCGAAGAAACACAAGGAAATAACTGTGATCCCAGTGGGAGTTATAATACTGACAGAGGGGAATTAGATACCCCAAAGTATATAACAGAAAGGGGAATGGGAGGAGAACTAATGGCATTGGAAGAAAGGAGGAGGAAAGGGTCAACAATAAAACGGTAAAAGGAGTGATCTGGAGGAACGATGAAAGAAAATGCAAGGAGAGTAACAAGGAAACATCTAGAACACAAACTGACCGGCCAGGACCAGTGACGCGGTCCAAGAGCCGGGTGCAAATGTCAGCCAAACCCATTTAAGTCATCATTGTTTACTGGATTCTCAGCCCTGATGATGTTGGGAGCCTCCCAACGAAAGCTTGGCGGTTTTAGTAAAATATATTTTTTATACCTATATTCTCCTGATG